TTTTTTTTAAACGGGCCCAGTGCCCAAGGCTAATATTACCAATAAGAAGATTGAGGCCGGGGTCCTCACAGTCAGCCCGGAGTAACCGAACCGAACTTACTGAGAACCGGGCTCAGCGTCCCTCATATGGTGATGATAATGATCATGATGATGATAATGATACTACTGATGATGATGCTAATGATAATGAAAATTAGTGTAAAAAGGAGACTATGCTATATCAACAATTTCGACCTCCTAATCTTAGAACAACTCCTAGCCCTCCCTATACGAGGACATAGTGACTCAAAGACAGTACCAACCTAACCAACGTCTGCCATGGTTGTTCTCTTCTCGCTCCCTTGCAGCCCCCCCCGTTCCACCACTAGATTGCCTTCCTCCCTCGGCAAACCCCAGATCTCTCTACAAGGTCTCACACTCCTGCCATTTGCAGGTTACAGGGCAACGCCCCAACTCCTGCCAGCGTCGTTCTGGCGTCGGCAAACCAGGGGCTCAGAACAGAGTAACTCTGTAGACACCAGTCCAGGTTCAACCATCTCTGAAATCCTATATCCCTATTGTGGAAGAAGTCTAGATGCTGCCAAAAATTTTAGAACACCAGAAAGCTTAATATAACATGATTGAGATGATGATATTAATGATGATGAAGATGATGATGATGATCAGTATATAAAAAATGTAGGAGACTATACTATATCAGCCCTTCTGACCGCCTAATCTTAGAACACCTCCTAGCCCTCCTTGTACCAAGACATTACATCTCAAAGACAACACCCTCCTTACCAATGTCAACCGTAGCTGACCTGTTCTCGCCACCTAGACTATCCCTGGCCCCATAGGTTGTCAAGGCAGCCCCCCCGGTTCGCCACTCGATTGCCTTCCTCCCTCAACAATCCCCAGATCTCTCTACAAGGCCTCACACTCCTGCCAATTGCAGATTACAGGGCAACACCCCAGCTCCGGCCAACATCGTTGTGGCATCGGCAAACCAGGGCCACAGAACAAGGCAACTCTGTAGATATTGGCCTAGATTCAACCATCTCTAAGATCCTATATCCCGAATGAGGAAGGAAGCCAGAGAATTACAGAGCACCAGAAAACATGATATACTTCTCCCTGCCTTCTTTCATTCCCTCCATTTCCCTATCTATCTCTTTACCCTAGTCTGCCCCCGCTGGGATTTAATACCCGGCCCGGTGGCCCCAGAATAGAGTATTCCTCACAATTTGTTCGTGCCCCCTTCAGGGTTTCACCCCCCTCCTAATGAAACCCCTGCAGAGCAGGGCTCTCCCCATCACTTTATGTGAGATAAAATTACGAATGTAGGAAGGGCCATTTATGCCCCTCCCATTTGATAAAAGAATTAGTCAAAAAAATAAAAAAGTCAAAGAGTAATTTATGACTAAATTTTTGATAGTAGAACTTGAGAGTAGATAAACATGATTAAAAAAAAAAAAAAAAAGTATATTAATTAGAGATTTTCRCCTGGAGTTTTAGGTATATAAAAATACCTTTTATGTTAGTTAGACAAGAAATTCAGGTTTTGAAGATAAGAAAGATCAAGAATGTTTAAGACTTTAGTTAGGATTATTAGTTATAGAAAAGTAGTTAGGTTCGTAAATGGAATAGTACTGACATGATGAAATTAATGGTCAGATTGATGATTACAATATTATTAAGATATTATTTAGTTGATGATAAGATTGATTTTAAGATTGATTGGAAAAATCATGAAAATACAAGCAAAGGAGAATAAAATATAGAAACGTGAGACATACTTCCCCCCATCCTTGCTAAACGCTAATCCCTCCCCCTTCCCCCACAATCCTCCCTCCAATTTCACCCATTGTCCTTACACTCCCTCTTTCCTCATATCTACGCCTCTTCCANTCCTTGTTAAACGCTAATCCCTCCCCCTTCCCCCACAATCCTCCCTCCAATTTCACCCATTGTCCTTACACTCCCTCTTTCCTCATATCTACGCCCCTTCCACACTCTTCCCTCCTCCAATTTCACCCATCATAGCCCCACTTCTCTCGTCTCTCTCCCTAAAATGGGAAGAGCAGAGTGCAGAGCATCAGACAGCGAAAAGGGACGAGGAATGAATGGAGAGAGTAGGCAGAGAAAGAGGAGAGGGGGAAGGGAGAGGAGAAAAGAGGAGAGGGAAGGAGTGATCAGATGTGGAGAGTGGAGTCACTCACGTCAGATGATGATGAGAATGATGATGACAATGATGATGACAATGATGATGACAATGATGATGATGATGATGATGATGATGATGATGATGATGATGATGATGATGATGATAACGATGATGATGATGATGGTGATGATGATGATGATGATGATGATGATGATGATGATGATGATGTGAAGATGACGATGCTGATGTCGTCGATGATGATGATAATGTTGAAGATGAAGATAATGAAGATTACCGCACGTCCCGTCTACGAGTAATAGGTCGTCGAGAAAACCACCAGGATGCTGAAGCTGAAAGTCAACTGAGTCATAGAGAACGTTTCACCTTATGAAGCCAAGCATCTTCAAACATAGAGAAGATACGGACGCTTGAAAGTTCGCACCGCCGTCAGAGCAGCACCAACCCCCCCTCACTGCCCACGTCAGCCTGCGACGCCAGGAGTTCAGCCACAAGACAAAACTAAGGACTCACTCCTCTCTCCCCGCTCTATCAACCATGATCACCGCTTAGTCCCACTCGCTTGCCGCTGCGCAAGCGTTGTAAAGCTGCGACACTCAGCTTCCATCTCCCTAGGCCACCAACGCCCTCATTGCTCGTCCGCCTCGTGACACCTAATGCTCGTCCCACCGCGTGGCTCGCCCTGCTGGCAACCAGCGCTCCTGCCTCATAGCAGCACTCCGCTCAACGTAGCAGCGCTGGCCCATCGCAGCATTGGCACCACCAGGACATCGCATCCGTGGCCAGGAGGATAGCGGGGCGCAGCGCTACCGCGTCATTTTCCGAACCTAACTCAACTGCAGTGCCTTTCCTTTTTTCTGGTTTTTAAGACATCATTGCATCCTGAAACGGAGGAACTCCGACAGCTGTGTTTGGCTGTCTGGCATCAAACTCGTTTCCTTCTTTGGGCAGTGAATGCATTTGGCCATCCACGTTGTCCCTGTCCATTGTACAAATGGTGACCTCCTGTCCCCTCACCACCTGGAGTATCCCTTTTTCATGGAGACATTCACTCGGACTGTTCCAGACATGCTTCATGTCTGCAAGTTACGTTATAAAAAATAAAGAAAAAAACTGTTTCTAGCATTTTTTTTCAGTTTTTTAATTTCTTGTTTCAAATTTCTTAATGTCAAAATGGCGTCACACCGTTATGTTTTCTAAACTCAACAAGGATAGGTGGGGGAGCAGTGGCTGAGGCTCTTCCAGCCCTAATGGGAAGAGGCGTGTGTTGTAATCAATTTCATAATTGGAGCCTTGGGCACTGGGCCCTATTAAAAAAAATAAAAAAAATAAAAAAATAAACAGAATAAAATGCAGAGCCATCCAGATATGACAAAAAAGGTGCAGTGTCGCAGATCTCTTCGTCCTCCCCTCCGCCTGCTCGCTTCCCCCTCGACTAGAAACGAAACGGACTTGAGATTCTCCAGTTAGTGAGGCCTCACGTGTTTGTGTTTGTGTGTATGAGAGGGGGCCTAATCTTAGGCACCCCCTACAGCACTGAATGAAGTTCGTTCGGAATTGCCGGGGTGTGCGCTCGTACCCATTTCCCTTCATCTGACGGCGGGTTGGCGGGTTACGCCGAGACCATGCGCGACGAAAAGGACAAACTTTCGTAGCACTCCCGGTGGGACTCGAACCCACAATCGCCTGATTAGAAGTCAGACGCCTTATCCATTAGGCCACGGGAGCCTATCATGCTAAATTTCATGGGATACAAATTTTATGCCGTCCTGTGCGAGGGAGGAAGTCGACACACCAATTCTCATGTCTGATTTCGGAAGTAGACGAAAAAAAAAGGTTCAAAAACCCAAATGAAAAGTCGGATTTCGTGGGAAAAGGAAAGGCTTGAAAGGCCGTCCAGTCCAGATTCGACAGGTGAAAAACCTTGTTCTTTTTCCTCGCCCAATCGCTTCCAGTTTGGCAAGAAGGGCCCACGGACAATTCAGGCCGTAGGATGTAAAAAGTATGGCAGCCGAGAGCCCAACTATTGCGAATTATGAAGCTCGCCATGCATTGCGCCAGATTCATTTTCCGGCGTGAACGGGAAAAGTTCGGGCGCAAACAAAAAAAAATAAAAATTCCAGCGGCCTAGCCGAGTTGGTGAGGCATGCAAGTGGCATTCAGGAGGTTGTGGGTTCAAGCCCCGTGGCCGCCTGCGGCGCACTTAGTGCCAACGGACTGTGATAGTCGTCTGGATACCCCTGATCGGTATTAGCGGGGTCTATGACCAACACGGGTGTGAGTGTGAGCGCGAGTGGGTTGGGTGTGGTGTGTGGGAGAGTGTTGGCCATAGCCTCTACTGCTACTCGATGAGGGGTGGGGGACGATGAGGAAGACCGGCGGCCCCACCCCATCTCTGACTGCCGCTGTTGGGGCGGGGGCCAACATGAATCACCTCGTTTGCGAGGCCCTATGCTTGCAGGTGTCCCCTCTATATAGTCTTAGGAGTAGTGGTAGGAAGGTAGTGAAAGGCGAGAAAGAATTTGAGAGAAGAACATAAAACAAAAATAAATAAATAAATAAATCTCGGAATGCGCCCCCCCCCCCCCAAAAAAAAAGGTTTTCGCGTGGATGGTTTCCGCTGATTATCACGTGTTTGCAGGTGGGTTCGCGCGTGCGCAAAGCTGGCTTTCAGCCATTGTGACGATGCCAAACAGCATCCTGGGCCAGATGAACCATGTCATCCGTTGCGCTCCACATCAGCGACGGGGAGGAAGAGAACGACAAAGACATGGCATGAGGGCAGCGTACAGCCTGCAAGGTGAGATTCCGGCGTCAAGGCGATCGTGGAGGGGGAAGACGTCGAGGAGGATTCCAAATTAAATGGGAGGAGGATGTAAGTCGTGGACTCAGTTTTTGAATAACGGGATTGGCAGCGGAGATTGGGAGGGGGCCGATCAGGATGTGGGATTGAGTGGAGGAGAAGGTCCGAATGTCAGCCGATCCATCAGGGTGAGGATGTAGAACCGATGCAGTGCAGGTGAAAGAACGGCAAGGCAACAGTTTTTTTTTTTTTTTTTTGCAACAGGGTATGGCATCCAGGTCGTTTTCGATAAATCGGTTTGTCCATCTGATGTTTATGGGACGCTGGACTGACATCGAGGCCGTTGGTCGGTCGCGTTATCTCATTGGAGTACAGTCAAGTGGAAAGGCATCCGTTCTTGATACCGACATGCAACGGTTCGAATCCTTTTTTGCCCTGTTTCCAGCTGGTCTACCTTCTTCCCCCAAATACAACGTACGGTCATTATAGCTGTATTTGAGGCATATTTCAGTCTAGATACCGCTATAAAATGACCGGACGTTGTATTCGGGGGAAAGAAGGTAGCTCCCCTCCAATAGACAGGGGCCATCTTCGTCGCAAGTTGTCGATAACGACGATATTGACGTTCAGCAATTAACATATAGTCAGAGCAGCTAAGCCAACCAATCGACTGTATCATCCCTTCATGCAGAACACGCACAGTTAGGCTTGAGGAGGAAAAGAGTCGGAACAAGCAGAGTTGGACTTGAGGAGGTAAGCCAACCAATCGACTGTATCATTCATACATTCTTCGCAAGGCCTCAATG